ATCCCTAGATCAGATACTTTCATACTTATAATAATAATTAATGATGAAAACATTGTTTCTGGGCATTTGCCAGAAAATGGTTGTTAACCAGTGGAGTAGCCTATTAGACAGAAAAGTTGGAGAACTGCCTCGTCCTGTACAAGGACAAGTATCAGCACCTCAAAAGGTCAACAATTAATGTGTTATATGTCTCTTTTCTAATCCACTCAAGTCATGCTTTTACATTATCATGTACTTAACTACTTGTTAGCCAAGAACACTGACTTCCTGCGAGTTAGTCATCGCTATGCAATTGGCAGGAAACCTGCAGCTTTTCCAGAAATCATTTTTGTTTTATTCCAAAAGTTGCAAACTTTAAATAGACCAAGCAAAGCACCTCACAAATGTACTTGGTGCAGTGGTTTACAACTTGTACTGGTCCTCTCAGAGATAGACGTGAACAAATGCTCACATATATGCACAGTCTCTGCAGTGCATCAGGTAAAGGTCAGCCTTGTGGTTGGAGCAAAACTTGCTGCTGTCACCTCACCGTAAGAGCTTCTTTTTCTTCTTCTGAGTGCTCAATTAACAGCAGATGATCAATTAAGGAATCATCCAGAAGCTTCCGTGGCTGGGTGTGTAAGGATGGAGCGAGAATGGTGTGTGGGCTTATTAGAGCACATCAGATTGTGTTTTAATGGTTATTTGCGTCCATGATTTCTTATATGGAGTACAGTCTCTCTTTGGAAGGTGTGGTTCAATGTGCAGTCGATAGAAGCCGATGGAGGCCTGGTCTGATAAGGCAGTTATGATGAATTTGCCCGGGTCCAGAGTTTAGCGTGGCAGGCCTGGTGAGGACTTGCAGCTGCTTCTCCTGTCTGATCCCCACTGGGATACCCCCACAGTGGGAAGTTTCCCATTGAGAAGGTACACTTCTAAATAATTGATTGATGGTTTTAATGGTTTGTTTCATCAGTGATGCACACAGAAATAATCCTGTGAGAGCTGGTTAGCACACTTTGAGCTTTTAAGTATAAAACGGTGCATATATCCTGCCGTATCAGAGATATTCTGTAGTTTTTGCTACGAAATCTAACTAAGATTTAAAATACAATCGCTAATTTAACCAAGGGGGCATTCGGCTACAAATGCTTCTAGAGTCAGCTTATGATGAACTGATCTAACTGCATCCTAATAACCTTTACTTACACTTACATGCTGCACGGTTAGTCTATTTTTTGTCCAATTCAAAAGTCAGATTTTTTAGTGAATGAGAGAAGATTTCTAAAGTGAAAGTCTCTAGCTGTTCACATAACCAGTATACAAAGCAAATATGACATATGTCCCACCCTGCTACAATGTGCTTTATCATAATTTATAGTAAACGTGCGTCTTTATAGCCTAAGAGAGTGGTATAGTGTATATAAGGAAGGGCTGCAGCTGTGAGTTCACAGTTTGAGGGCTAAGCTGCTGCATATAAACATAACTGAATGAATTATGTCTGCATTTATTCTCAAGATTGACTGGCGAGCTCTGCAAGCCACTGAAGTATAGAGGCAATGTGAAATTGAACGGAGATTTGACTATGATGCCATTACATCCATCCTTATGACAATAATTCAAGTTTAATAAATATAAATTAAGTTCTCCATAAAGATGATTTCTCAGGCTTAAAGAGAGCTCCAAATGGAGATCACACCACTAACTTTCTTATGTTTACGTATTTAATACTGGCCTCTGCCACAAACACACGGACCTATACACGTATGCCACAAATAATTTGCAGAGTTCTAATAAAGCCGGCTCAGACGCCGGCGATTCGTTTTGATTTTCACCTCCATGTAATGATAATCACAGCGGCTTGGATCCAATCTGGGCATGAACGTATTCTCAGTTGCACCGGGCACCACACTCTGTCTCCATTTCTATTTTTACACGCATGTTTGAGGAGTCACGGCACCGTGCCAGTGTCACTGTGACTTGGGATTGCTCACAAGATATCTTGCTGCTAAAACTGGTAGACGAATCACGATCGACGTCACACATCAGCTGACACCCAGAGAAGCACCAAGGAGGGGGAAATGGGTTTGCTGTCACCTCACCATAAGGACTTCTGTTAAATTTGTCCCCACAAGTGAACCAGAGATTCAGCTTTTCACTATTCCTCGGAGAATGCAAATCAATCCCACATGGATCCAACGTTTCCAAGCAGAGCATTGCTAGCTTAGCCTTCTTCCTATAGCGCATCCTCGTGCCAGCACTTCCTCACACATGAGGTAAAATTATACGTCATTTATCAGACAAGGCAACCTTCTTCCATTCATAGGAGGTGGTTTCCATGGTGGATGGGGGTCAATGTGGGCAGTCTGATGTGATGCAGCCCCATATATGCAACATTTGAACCAGTATGAAGGTTTTCAGAATTATTCACAATTAGAAACAAGGCGAGAGAGAAACCATGGCTGTGCCATATAACACTAATAAGAGTTTACTATCATCCGTCCGTCTCCCTGAGAGTTGTGGTGAAATTACCTTCTATAGTAAATGTTTCACATATAGGTATGAAATGTTAAAATACCTATAAAACTAAAACATTTACATTTTCAAAGAGCAGCCTTCACTCACACATCAATGACCCTGTTGATGTAAACTCATGGTCATGCAATACCAAATTGTTTTCAAGCCCAGAACATATTATATTTAAAATTACCTCGTTTGACATAATATTCA